TCGACTATTGTGCTTCGCAATAGACCTCTGACATCATAATCACGGTAGGGAATCACGTGACTTTTACGGTTACGCGTACAGACAATATGGCGGCCTAAAAACCTCGCTTCACATGTGTTTTTCAGGTAATTCTTTATTATATCCCTTTTACTTACCTACGAGACCTGTTGCAGCCTACGCGGAAAAAAGAGTTGTTGCCGCCTTTACCTTATTTTCCACCCCTGTGCGCATAGCTTTTACAAACACTCAAAAATTCAACAGGAATTTTCAATTTTAACAATTATTTTCCGGGTAACATTCACGCAAAATTTGTATTTAATGAATTTGATTAAACTAGGTCGAGTTAGCAAAGAGAAAAGGTTCATATATTGAAGTTCTTTATTTGAAAATGTAAATATTAGGCATGTTTAATACTGACTAGTCATTTTCTATTCCAATACACGAGAGAAAAATGATTTGGGTAACGGCCACACGTACTTTTATTTTTGATTACTCCCACGCAATATTTTATGTGCAAGCAATATCTATGCAGGCTATAGCCTAGATATTGATTTATCAAAATCATGATTGATGCATTTAGCCTTAAACGTTCACAGAATTTTGAATAATATTAAAAATACCGCCAAAAGGTCCTGGATAGAAGTAAGCGCCTATGGGTATCAGAATACATACTCACGTAAATGTATTAAATGAAGTTTAGATATAGAGATATAGATGAACTAATCGCAGAAATTAGAATAAAAGTCTCAAATATAAGAAGGAGGTCGATTTTTGTTTAAGCACAATTACACTTGTCATTTTTCATAGTTAGCAGATATGGACGGTTGCGGCTCGGATATTGTTTGTGAATAATGTTGGAAAACATTTCGTTCACGGACAAGTCTTAATGACCACATAAACTGGCTACTCGGCAAAGGACCATGTAAACGTTGTGGCAAATCGAACTGTCACAGGTTTGGCATTTTACTGTTAATATTAAGATTTTAAAGACATTCAAATCATTTTATCACTTAATCTTTTATGTAACCAATTATTTTTAAAATACTCGTGTCTGTATTTAATATAATTATGTATTTTTTTTTAATTTAAAGCTAAAAAAACCCTAAAGAATATTAGAATGGGTCTTTTATTTTACAAACAAGGTAATGAAATCTAGAGGACTTATGTTTGAATTACCAGTAAAACCCGTAACGTTTCCGATTTGCTGGGCTATAAAATGTTTTACCACAACATTTATAAGGTCCTGTGCCGATGTGGTCATTCCGTGAATGAAATGTTTCCCACATTTATCACAATCAATATACGAGCTGGAAACATTCATTTCTGCAAAATATGAAAAATGTCAGCTGTAATTATACTAAAACAGAAATACAAAACCTCCTTCTAATATTTGAGACTTTTGTATTTAAACGCGACCTAATTGAATGATTTTGGTTTGGTAGGCCTTACGCGTAGTTATTGATGTCCTTGGTAATTTGTGATTTTATAGGTCTGCATTTTTGAAATTTATTTATCATATTATTGTAACCTATAAACAGATGAAGTGTTGTTCGGCCCATATCATGAACGTCCCAAGACGATTCGTCAATCTAGCTGTATTAATAATATATCTTAGTGATGTGAATTAGTTTGAAAAATACATTATATCCATTGCATTATCGACACAAATATTGATTAAACTGTTCTTTAATGTTAAATTTTAAGCTTAATTGTCGTGAATTTATAGGGAATAATAAATCTTTTTGTTATATTCTAGATCCTGGTCCTGGCTGAAGTTGAGAGTATTGCAGCTGTAGCTTGTATACCATACATTTCACATGAAAAGGACTGTCAGGTTTGTTGAATTGAAATTTATATATATATATATATATATTTCTTTACAAAGTATTAATATTGCAACTACTGGACATTTATCTTGTCTTAATAATACATGTATATTATTTTCAGAATACTTTTGTAACATTATTAATATATAATTTACATATTTGTTGTTTGCAGGATGCTGCATACAATTTAATGGTCTTAGCTAGAGCCTAGAATGAATATTTCTTGGGAAAATGCTGCAAGTAACTGATTGGGAGCAGTTTTTCTTACCAATCATAGGTGAGAAACTTTTAAATAGCTTCTTTTAAAAAATGTTTTTGTTGTTTTATGTACATAATTTGCTGTCAATATGAAACTTCAACTGTATCTTAATTTCTATGCTGTTTTATTATGTAAATCTTAGAGATAAAACATATCGATAAGTTGATTAATTATATACATAGTTTGAGATTGACCATGTCACTTTTAATTAGTAACCTCTTATTTTATTTGCAGAAGCAGTAAAAGACAGCTGAAGAAGTATTCAAACACCATCATGAAACACTTAAGACATACCAGGAATAATCTAGAAGAAGCTAGTAGTAGAGTGGAACAGATTGTAGCTTAATTGTAGCTAAAAGGACTTCTTAAATCATTTGAATTTAAGCTGCACTTGAACTGTATTTTTTTTAAATAAAATATCTGAAGTATTTAATAGTGTCTTGATATTTTGTTAAACAGTTAAACTCTGTTACTTTGCTTTATATTAAAATTAAAGTATGTTGAAATGACATTGAAACTTCAACGTTGTGCCAACGTTGAATTTCAACATTGTTTAAACTTTCAAATCCGAAAATAAATCAAACGTTATTTCAACGTTAAAATCTGACTATAATTCAACGTTGTTCAACGTTTATGTGCCTGCTGGGTTAATTCTATCAAGGACCTATTGGCGGTATTTTTAATATTGTTCAAAATTCTATGAAAGTCTGAGGCTAAATGCATCAATCATGATTTTGTTAAATCAATATCTAGGCTATAACCTTCATAGATATTGCTTGCACATAAAATATTGCGTGGGAGTTATCAACAATAAAAGTAGGCGTGGCCGTTACCCAAATCATTTTTCTCTCGTGCATTGGAATAGAAAATGACCAATCAACATTTAACATGCCTAATATTTACATTTTCAAATAAACAACTTCTATGAACATTTTCTCTTTGCTAACTCGACGTAGTTTAATCAAATTCATAAAAAATACAAATTTTGCGTGAATGTTACCCGGAAAATAATTGTCAACATTGAAAATTCCTGTTGAATTTTTGAGTGTTTGTAAAAGCTATGAGCACAGGGATGGAAAATAAGGTATAGGCGGCAACAATTCTTTATTCTGCGTAGGCTGCAACAGGTCTCGTATGTAATTAAAAGGGATATAATAAAGAATTACCTGAAAAACACATTTAAAGCGAGGTTTTTTGGCCGCCATATTGTCTGTACGCGTAACCGTAAAAGTCACGTGATTACCTACCGTGATAATGCAACATATTGAAATTACTTCATTCACACGATTCCGCCATTTTGTTTATGAAAAATTTCAATTATTTTCTCCGCTTCAAATCCGACTCAATTAACATGGAGGTGAACAAATCGGTAAAGGGAAAAAAAAGAAAAATCTGATTAACATTACATTTAACACTTCCGCTTTTAATCTTTTAAACTGTATTATAATTGATTTTGTAATAGCTTTTAACTATTTCATGTTTCGAAAAAATGATACAGTAAACACTTAATCTCAATAAAAATAAGATCATCGTTTTTGCTCAGCTACTCTTCACTAACGACGGGTAGTGGAGCGACAGTCAGGATATGAATATAATCATTTAATGAGAATATAATGAATGAATATTCTTTCATATACCCATTAAAGTTATCATATGTGCATGAAGTATAAAATTTATTGCCAATTTATTTGAAAAAAAATCAACTATACAACGTTGATACATATCACGTGCTCCCCCATTTTCCGAAAACAGGTCACGTGCACCCCATGTTTCAAAAATTAGTGGCACACCAAACACTATTATTAAAGTTGATAGGGAAGTTGATCATCATTCACAGATGACCCCTATTGATTTTAAGATCAGTAGGTCAAAGGTCACTAACAGAATGTATGAAGGTGGATATTTCGTGTTCTTCATAACATACTAATAATAATACACACAGTGCAGTTTTTGTCACATTATTATATATGTTGAAATATGAATTTTTTTCAAAACGGCTTATATTAAGTTTTTTTGATATATATGATCAGTACATGTGCTGGGATTGACAAATATGCATTTTATTTGGATTTTAAAGGTGTTTTGAGCTCCAAAACCCAAGTGTCTGTGGGTATAGATATTTCACAAATTGTGTAACTTCAATTTAATACTGACTTTAACACAAATTTTACTGCCGGCGTATAAACTAATGTTTCCCGAATACTGACGGAAATAGCCGATATGTTGCTATTGTTCGCAGATGCGATTCGACCAATCAGAAATTCTTACTTCCCGCCATTTGAACAATTACAAATCTTTCAAAGCTCACAAGAATCTAACCTGTTGGTGTATAATTGTTAAGTTGATGTTTTCAGAATTGTTATTAAGGTAACTTCATACTGTTATACAAGAAATTATATATGCATGGCTATATACAAGAACTTGTGTATGGCTTTGCTAACATTTTGCTTTTCATAAACTAGGGAATGCGTTTGAAGACAGTGAAATCCAAGCCTATATAGATGACATAAAAACACTAATTGTCGAGGAAGCTTTAGTGAAAGGCTCAGATAGAAACACGAAAGTGGTTGACTTCAAAATACCGGAGGAATTAACGGTACGTGTTTGGGTGACAGATTTTACACATGCTAGTTTGTACTTGAATAATTTTCGTCTTAAAACATGTAGTTACTTAGTTACAATATTTTTATTTTTGGAATATGGAATGCCGGTTTGGAAGATATAACAGACCAAAATTGAAGTTATTCGAGCCTGCTTTTTTCCGACGATGTTTGATTTTCCCGCGTAAATTTGGTGTCTACGTCACTAATAACCGTTGACTTTTAATGGAAGACCAAAACAAAAAAGAACTAATATGCAATGTGATTTCAGAAATTGTTGCCTCTTGAGATAAGAAAAGATGGTGCTAGTCACAAAGAGCTGTTGGATGTTTGTAAAACAGTGATAGATTATTCTGTGAAAACAAGTAATTTTATTGACTCACAATTATTTCTATAATTAATTTATCTTTTGGCAGCTGCTCAAAGATGTTTATATATCAATTCTTATAAAATCTCGGACCTATGTTACAAGCAGTCGGTCTAGACTTTATATTCTTTATATTTTCACATTAAAATGCTTTTAATTTATTACGGGCAATTAAAAAATAGAAGCTGGACACATTTAGCAGCTTTTTCAATTCGACTATTATGAAATCTATTAGAAATTGGCGGAGACGTATGTCCTCCGATCATAACGATCAAGCAATAGATATCGTATGAACCGGATTTATATAAAAACATGAGAACAAAATGGCGCACATGAAATTCCAGTGTTAAAATTTTATCTGCCTTCTCGTTTGTAATTTGTATTTATGTTACTTATCTACAAAGACTTTTATATGCTTATTAAAAACATTTTAATAGGAATATAAGTATACGCGCTTGTCTTTAAGTGTTGATGTATTATCTGCTGCGTCTTTATGACCTCATGTAACTTCCGGTTTATTTCTTTGTCGTCTGCAGGTAATCCACGTTTCTTCAATCAACTGTACGGGGGACTGAATGTTTACGGAATGACAGGATCATGGTTGTCAGATGCCCTAAATACAAACATGTAAATATATGTACAAAGTTGCAAAATATGATTTAGATAATAAGGGATATCATTGATGTACCTATCCAAACTTTCTATGTCACTGCAAATATTTTTACACGTGTTTTAGCCAATCAAAATTCTGTACTGTAAAGCTTCATATGCGTGTAATAAAAAGAAGAATTTGTTTAATAGTATCTGTTGATTTCCTATTTTTTCTGTATATCTATGACACATCAAAGATTTCAAACCAAATTTGTGTACAAAGTTTTAACCTATGAACTGATATGATACATATCACGTGATATGATATATATCACGTGACACATAAATAAAAAAAAACGTAAAATAGAGAATAAAAATGTTATCAAATTTAAAATAAACTTTACTCCATTCTATTTAATGGCGTGTTGAATTTCAGGCATACATTTGAAGTGGCACCAGCGTTTATTGTCATAGAGAAGTATATAATAGAGAAGTTATGCTCTATCATTGGATATAAGACAGGAGATGGCATCTTTTGTCCAGGTTTGTTAACTTCAATATCACATTTACGTCCATAATTGTTAAATTAGTTGTCAGTTTAAGTCCTTTATCTTACTCTTTTTTTCGTGGTGGGTATGGGGCGGAGGCAGGGGGTTGAGGTTGGAAGACCCGGTGGAGCACTTTCTAGGCTGTTCAGTGTTTCAAACGTTTTAAAAATATCTCCTACATTTTACGATGTACATCTATGTCTAACTCACAAAAAAATGAATATATGACCTACGTATCAGTTATATAACGTCCATATCAGGCTTTTGGCCTAAATTCCTTGGTTAATCAACGGTAAATATTGTAAAAAGCGGCATGAAAACGGCTCAGTCTTTGTCACATACTAGTTGGCCCTCTTGTCTTCTGGTCCTTAACGCCTTTTCATAGCATATTTGCGTTTTTATTTAACTTGAATTTAACTATTAAATATTATCAGGTGATTTTTTTCTTCCAGACTTTGATACCGAACTTCTTATTGTTTCAAATTATAGGTGGATCGTTCTCCAACATTATGGGAATGAACTTAGCGAGGTTTAAAAAATGTCCGGATTTTAAGAAAACGGGAATGTACGGTTTGAAACGAATGAAACTGTATACATCATCAGAGGTAACATTTCATTATTCACGCGCGGAAAAATTACGTGCATCTGTCGTAGAATATGATTCATCTGTAAAATACAATCCATATGTGGTCAATTGTAGTGGATTATAATGTGGTGGATTATAAATCATATATGGTGGATTTTAATACATCTTTTATTAAATGAAATTTATAAAATTTAATTAATTTATGATAAAATATTTTTCATATGTTGATGTGTTATTTTAATTGGTAAAATTTCAACCTTTAGCTGTGGCATGATAAATTTTCAATACTTTTTGTCAAAAGTTCTTTCAAAAACGTTTGCCAGGGATTTTCTTTTGATATTATGCATATAATACGAATATTTTTTAGTTTTCTCATTTCACATTGTCACAGAATTATTCTAAACAAACGTTCTTTACTCACAGGCACATTATTCAATGGTAAAAAGTGCGGTATTTCTCGGCCTTGGTTCGGACAATGTAGTTAGAGTAGAAACAGACGAAATAGGACGTTTGAAACCAGATGTGTTAGAGCAGCTTATAAAGGCGGATATTGAAAAGGTAAATATTTGGCAGAAAGAACGAAAAAGAAAAAGAATTTAGAAATTTTCAGCAACAAAAAATCATTAGATTTGATTTTTAAAAACGGAAATGTTGTTTGAATACAATTAATATTTGTTTATTGTTCTAGTCACTTTATGTAAAATTTATTAAGTCAGTTTGCATTTGGTATTCCGTCTACTGTACTGGTTTTTCTAGTTTTTGTTGTTGTTTTTCTTTTGTAGGGTGAAGAGCCGACTTTTGTTATGGCTACTTCCGGTACGACGGTTCTAGGAGCGTTTGATCAACTAAACGAAATAGCTGACGTCTGCGAGAAATATAACGTATGGCTTCACTGTGACGTAAGTAGACATTTTAAAGCTTGCACGTGAGCGTTTGTTCAAATATCTGATTTTTTGTTGTTGTTGTTGTTGTTCTGTGAGAATCTAAATAGTTTAGTTTTGTTGCTATTGTATCAATGTAAATATATATACCAATTATTCACTTTAACGACATGAGACTTGATGTATTGTAAAAAAGAAGAAAAAAATCTTATCAGATTGTGTATAGATTTATATTAGTTAGGCTGGTACACTTGTGTTTTTAATTCCTGATCATTATTCTCCATCTTTAATGATCAAATAGAAATATAATATAAGCTAATTTTAGCAAGAATTAGCCTTTTTCTCAATAAAACTTATTTAATGACTTAAAATGTTTAAAATAATGATAACATTTTATCAAAAAAGACCTCGGCATAAAAGTGCATGATTGCTTATCTCCAGATATGTTACCGAAAGAATGTTTTTGTCATTCGTTTTATAGGCGTGTTGGGGTGGCGGAGCTATGTTTTCGGATAAACACAAACACCTAATGTCCGGAGTGGAAAGGTATGTATATCAAAACGTTTTCATTTTTTTGTAGCTTTTTTCTTTTTTTTTTCTTCTTTTTTCCCATTGATTGACTGTTGAAATAGGTCATGTCATGTTTAATAAACATAAATAGAGATATTATAATGTTTTTACGTGAAGAAGAATCCCTTTCTTGTTTTGTTAAATGCCCAACTCCCCCAGTATTCATAATGTGGGCTCACAATTTCTACTAAACCAGAATACCTCTTCTTCCCCTGTGCCCGACGTTGGTATTCTATAAACTAGATTCCTCAAACAACAAGCTAGCCCTAGTCCCTTGTGACGTCAGCCTCAGTTTTGCATAAATGAAATATGACCTTGACCTATAAATGACATTGAACTCAAGATGGCAATTTCCAAAGAAGACAGAATTTCAACTAAATTTCATTTTTCAGTTACTGTACAGATTTTAAGGCGTGACATTTTCATGTGTATTGTATACCATTATACTGTCACCATCGTACTGTCACACTTGCCATCGTACTGTCACCATCGTACTGTAGTGCCTCGCGCTATTCTTTCTCAGAGAAAACGTGCTGGCCCTAACGGAACACCATAGTCTTGTGTTTTACCAATATTCAACTGCAAATTTGATCTGCGATAATATGTGTATTGTAGTGAGCTAATTAGTAAGCATTAGTGTTGACAAACCGTGTAGATTTTATGTTACAGGATGCAGTCAGTTAGTTGGAATCTTCACAAAATGTCTACAGCACCGTTACAGTGCTCAGCTTTTCTTATACAATATAAGGTACGAGCATTTTATATCAGTTTTCCAAACAGCATAGTCCATTCAGAATATAGATAAACATTAGCTAAACCTTTAGAAAAGACAACGTAAATGTTTTTTCTTCTTTTTTTTTCCACAAAAATACAGTCTCACTTGAATGATCACATTTCGCGTTTACATATTTTTTGGTATAGAAATTACGTTCGTTTTTGAGTCGTAATGCTATTTATAAAGCTTAAACAACAACACTTCAATACAATACACACTGTTGAAATTAATGGAACGTTAGTCTTGAAAAATATGGGTGCACGGGACAAGATAGAAGGGGTTGGGATTGAAGGGTAATGTTTGTATTAACAGATCGTTTAATAATTGTTATAACCATAAAATTACTTTTTTATCATTATTATTATTTATTTATTCTTGAAGGGAATGCTTGAAGATTGTAACAGATACAAGGCGGAATATCTATTCCAGCAGGACAAGTTTTACGACATGTCTTACGACATTGGTATGAGCCAAAAAGCGTTCTTATTGTTAATGTATAAGTCTTTGCCACAAGTATAGAGCACGGCCAGTCTGCGCATCCGTGTAGTATCTATACTGATAGTAGATATTTTTTTGTATTTTGAAATCCCTTACTACTAGAATGGACTGCTCCAAATTTAAAGGGTTAATTTAGTTTCTCTATTTGTTAATGATATACATGTACTGAAAGTAATAAGTTGATTATATATTAGCTTTGTTATTAGCCCAAGAACATTCGTATTGGCTTGATGCTAAATTTCTATATAATATTTTTTAGTACTTTTAATTTGATTTCAGCAAAAATTAAATTTTTGAAAAGTTTATATGTCAATGCTATCGATAATATTATTATTATTATTAAAAACCAAACTTCTTAAGCACTTTTTTCATGCACATTGACACGTTCAAAAGTACTGTACAATATAACCAAAAAATGATACAATATTTAAAAGAAAAAAAAGAAAGAAATTAAAACATCAATATTGCTCAAGTCCCAAATTCAAATCAATTGTAGTTTAAAAAAGTTAAAAAGACCCACATAAGTAATAAAATTCAGGTAAGGTAATAATAAACAATTTAAAAAAGACACAATATATTTTCCGTCAAACTAGGTGACAAAACTGTCCAATGTGGGCGAAAAGTAGATGCAATGAAGGCGTGGTTAATGTGGAAGGCTCTCGGTGACGATGGCATGGCCGCTGCTGTTGATAGGGCCTATGATAATGCTAGGTTTGTTGTTGTTGTTGTTGTTTTTGTTGTATTCTCTGTCATTATTGAACTTTAAAATAATATTTTGTTTTGCTATGGTTGATTTGTTGATAGAAACATTCATTAAACATAATTAATATAGTTTCCTACAGTTTAATTCCTAATAATGTTTTGTTATTCTTGTTAGGTAAGTATAATGTTCAATGCAATATGCTACGTTATAGCATTATTTTGTCAGTTAATATAGAGTGCAATTAGTTGATATTTGTCATAGACGATCATCGTAAAGTATGGCAATTGTCACATTTTGTGTATATGTAATTTAATTGTCGGTGTGACTTAAAACCCAATCAAATATAATTAATTTGGAGTAGCTGAAACTCAAAGGCAATTACTGCAGTCACAGTGATTAACAGAATAGAACCATATTGGCTACTTATCTACCCCACAAGACAAACGGCATTTTAATTTTAAATCTCCCAGCGAAACCACGTTAGCACGTGGCTCACGTAAACACGTGGCACTCCTCGTGTGTTATTATTATTATTATTATTATTATTACATGTATTATTATTACATGTATTATTATTATTATTATTATCATTATTATTTTAAACAAGTGGTAAATTCAAGTTAACATTTTAGATACCTGACAGAAAAGCTGAGAAAAACTGAAGGATTCCGATTGGTTTTGCCGGAAGTAAGATATTACATTTCTAATTTTGTACAACGATAAGCATGCATTATCAGAAAAGCAATAGGCCGCCAACTTCACGCCGTCAGGCCGCTGGGCCGCTAGGCCGCCAACTTCACACCGCTAGGCCGCTTGGCCGCTAGGCCGCCAACTTCACACATCTATGTAAATAGCAACATTTAGGATTTAGTTGCCATCCATTCCTTCAACGCGTGAAATAAAGTTAAACATTTGACGAAGATAGGCCTTCATCAATGATACATTTGTTGTTTCTTTTTTAGTTTCAATGCACCAATATAGGATTTTGGTACATTCCGAAATCGCTCCGCGGGCAGGAGGAAACGCCGGAATGGTGGGACAAAGTATCCAGGGTAAGTGCCTGAAATCGGGATAATACAATGTACTTGTACCGTATAAGATTACACATCTAGAATTATTGACTTTATTGTGTCTATTTATGCAAGAAAAATTACAAAATATTTTTTTGTGCACCAAATCCAAAACAGGAGAATATTTTCAACGACCATCAACAATTTATAACACTAAAACAAAAACAATTTTGTTGAAATCGCCACACAGATATAAGGATGTAACAAAGAACGGCGAATGATTTGGTACAACCGCGTCGTATGACTTAATATCAGGCAACTTTTTACGGCCACCTCGCAAATTTGGGCGGTCTTGTTATTAAGATACTCGTAGCCATTATAAGACGATCATACACATTAATTGAAAAAATCAGCAATCTGTACATATTTTTCTTCACCTAGGTGGCGCCAAAAATCAAAGAAGGGATGGTTAAAGATGGAACAATGCTGATTGGCTATCAGCCCCTCACAGTTAAAGGTTTTGTGAATTTCTTCCGAATAATTATTAATAATCCAAAATGTGATTATTCGGACATGGACTTTGTAGTCAAGGAAATTGACCGTCTTGGGAGAGACTTATGAAAAAAGAAGAAATATTAAACTTTAAAAAAAATCTAACAATGTTAACAATGTTTATTATATTATTATGAATTAAATATTGCGATATATTGATGAAATATAATGCATATTTTCATTTTTCAGTATTTTCACTGTAAAATTTATTTTTCACTGCAGTGAAATATATTTTCCGTATTTTTACTGGTGTCTTGCCGGAGCGTAGTAGATCTACTTCCTAATAAATTTCGCCAAAACACATTTTTTGGAGTAGTCTTTGAAATTAAAATGTCTAAAAAGTGATAAATGTATGTTATGAACAGAAAATTCAAGTTTTTTTCTATAAATACAGGATTTATTTTCATCTTGTGATATGAAAATTATCGTATTTCACTCATGGCCACTGCCACTCATGAAATATTTATTTTCATACCACTCGATGAAAATAAATCATGTATTTATAGAAAACACTTATATCCTCTCTATATGCTTTAGTGAAAATATAAAATGCACCGTATAAAACGTAATTAGGACAGTATGATGAATGTCTTAAGCGAAACTGGTGAAAATAAAGAAGAAAAAAGTAAAATTCATTTTTAAAAAACAATGTATCTTTATTTTGTTTGTGAAAGATGTTTATTTTTTACTATATTGAACAGAAAAATGAAGAAATATATTGCATAATGCAGAAATTGTGTTTTATGTTATAAAATGAAATAAAACTACGGCTGTTTAAAGACGGACAATATGCAACCACCCTAAACGACCTTATTATTCAGTGAACTAAAACAGTATGGAATATGAGAAAAAATATTGATAAAATTCTTAAAAATTTGATTGAAATGTAATTGAAGAAATGGATTTTATCACTACACATGCATGGGTAAACGCTGATAAACGTTTATTCATATAGTTTCAACAGGTAACCTGACACACCCAAGAAAAATGTTCATAAATGAAAGAGATACAGAAGTTTATCATTTTTAGGAGATATACAATATCTGGTACTTCTTCACCTAAGTGCAAGTAGTACACCGATACAAAGGGATCCGGCTCTCATCCAACAGACGTACATGTATTATAATTTCAATGGGAGTAGCAGGATCAAACATTCGACCCCTGGATTTTGAAGCCAACGTGTGATTGTATTAACACAAAACCACTGCGCCAGTTCTATATACTATGGAAGCCTTGGAGGGTCACTTTTGAGTTTCGACTTACGGATGTTTTACTTTTGACTTTCGACTTTTGACTTTTGATTTGTGACTTTTGATTTGTGACTTAAGTCTTATGACTTTTGGCTAACCCATTTTACACGTTTTTTAGAAGCTGAAAGCAGCAACTTTGGTTTCAGGTATGTTTTTTAAGCGTTTTAAATAATTTCATTGAGATTTGTCATGGAGGAGATGATGTGTTAAGGAGGGAATTAATGTTATTTGATATAATCCCATAGTGGTAATATATCAGACTTTAATTTTACAAGTGTGACTGTGTGTTTTGTGCAATCTGCTTTGTTCTAAATATGTTCATTATATTAGTGCTTACACATTTTTTGTCCTCATCACAAAATCTGTCCATGCGTAACAAACAAATAACTGTTTTACAAGTAGACAGGGAATACAAGTTTTACGTCTTAAAATGGCATGGTGCACAGTATTAAACATGTATCGCAATTCAGCATTTTATTTAGCTAACACAGAATCAGTATTTCTTTGAAGTACTTTGTTAACAATTTCATAATGAACAGCATGTGCTATGTTCATACACATAAGTACAAAGTTATAATTGTGATCGAGGCACATTTGCATTTAGCATCAATGTCTAATTTTGTTGTATATTTTAACAATTGAGAAAAAAACACTTAAGAACAAACATAGATATAGGACAAGTTAGAACAAAATATCCTACTATCATTTTAAATGTTGTTTTTTTTTTCGTACCTATCAATCTTTAAAAGACAGAGCTAGAAGATTTACCCATTTTATATACTATGAATGTATAAAGATTTAAATAAAAGATAAACTCTTATTTCAGACACAACTACTGGACAAAAGGTAACGAGGATGAAAACCTTGATGTTGATCTGTGTCTTCATCATTATACTGTTCGGCATTACCAAAGTAAGGCCACATGTGTCACAAATCACATTCGTCACAATTGTGAAGAATGAGATCACATTCGTCACAAATTTTGTGATGCATGTGATCCAATGTTTTAGACAATCACATTCGTCACGAGTTTAAAATCACAAATGTCACAAATTTGAGATAAATATTGTTTTCTTCAATGCTTTTCACTGAGTCACAAACGTCAGAAATTTTTAGGACTGAAATCAATTATTGGAACTAAAACTACAGACATTTTTATCCCCTCCCCCGCTGATGAAATCGGGAGTGATGGGACTGTTTTAGCGTGTTCGTCCGCCTGTCAGTCCAGATTTAGTTTCCGCACTATCCGGCCATTGATTAGTTATTATACACTGTATATGGAATCATTTCGTTTCCACGCTATTTTTCAGCAACTTCTGGATGGATATCGATGCTGCAACTTTGTAGGAACCTTCATTCACAAACCAGTTGCACATATAACCAGCATATCTCCATTTCTTTTTTAAAAACAGACTTATTGCCCCTTGTTGTTGTTGTTATTTATAAAACACTGTATATAGAACTATTGCTTTTCTGCGCTCTAGGAATTTCAACGAAATTTAGTTTAATATAAAGAGGAGATGCGCATCTCGAAAAATCTCGACGGGACACTAAAGGATTTGGTCCGACTTGAGGGTACGGTCGCTTATATGGGCTTTCCGGCGGCGACTTTAGATAAACACATAAACAAACAAACAAGATGTGCATATCATCATCATCATCATCATCATCATCAGTATTTCCCGTTTGGCCGTTTAATACAGAGTTATGATCCATAATTATTATCATTTATTGTTCATAGAAAAGCATTAATTCAACCCTATTCTTCAACAAATCTGCTGAATAATTTAAACAAAACTATGTGGGTACATCTAATACCAAGCGGAGATGTGTATATTGACGGCACTTACCCGAAGTTAAGACCCCTGGTTGCTTAATATTCAGTCAGATAACTTAAGTATTTCATGTCTTCAAATGTTAAATATATCTAATTTAATTGTGTGGGAACCTTCAATACAAAAAGGGCATGTGCATTATCGCCGTAGACCTTGAGTGATATGGGCCCTGATAATTTATGCTTTAACCGACTATTTCCCCGGAGTCTTTATTCGAAATGTATCCTGCAATTGTTTAATTTTCAATCAGTATATGATGCTGTCGGCGGTAAACATTAATTCAGCGAATTTGCTTGCAAGATATTTGAATGACCTCGTGTAATTATAGCTTCGCAAGACCAATCATATTCTACAAGAAATGTTAAGTTTTCTTTAAGTTTATTTATTCAACTTTCCTTCATGATTCTCATTTAACCCTTTCCTTTATAGATATTACTGGTAAAATAACTATATGAACCGCGCCATATTGAACCCTAGATGAGCCGTCAGTACTAAAGAACTCTGATATAATATAGAATAACGCATGTTTCTTTTTCGTGTTAAAATATCTGTAGAAACCCAAGGGATTAGTTGGTACCCGACCCAACGTATCCGAGGTTTCAGCAGTTGTTATGACACGGAACAATCATTCGTTAACGCTATTCTAGCATAAAGCATGCATAAATCTAACACAATCCATACACAATCAAGCAACATCACTGATTTTCCTCGGATTGCACGGGAACGTCAGCGTGTATGTGACCGTGACGTCATTTCCGTTTTAGTTAAGCAGCGTCCGGCCACAATGTATTGACGCGTGTGCCACGGAAAACGTATATCAAAAAGGTGTTTTAACAGCGCATGAGCGCTAGAATCTCCTTGTTAAAAGACCTTTTTGGTCCTGTTAAAACACCCCGAAATCATGGTTATAACGGCAGTTTTATGCTAGAATATAAAGTAATGAATAACAACATGGATTCCAAGAAGACTAAAAGCAAACTCACATTGCACAATACTAGCCGCAATTATAATACTGCTAATAAAGTTCACGAATTTTCATTGGTTTAGAGGCGGGATATATTTATAGGTATTTACAGAGGTCTGATGTGCCTTTATTCGATTTTGGCCCACTTAAAAGAGCCGAGGGCTAATACCGATCTTGTAGACCCATATCGCATTAAGGCACACCAGACCTGTTCTATAACCTTTTATTGCATTGTGCTCATTTATGTTTTGGTTTTCATTATAGAATTAAAAAAAATCGTTTGAAAACATTGTTCAGCGACAATGTATAATTTATTTTAAAAAGCGAGGGACTTTTGACGTTCGTCTAATGACGTTGACGTCATTTCCTCACAAATTTGTTTTTAATTATATTTTGGCGTTATTTAACTGTTGGAGATTGTTTTTCAAGTGTTTCTTCAATTTTGCTTTTTATCAAGATATATTTCAGTATAAACGTATTTTTTCTTATAAAATTGTCAATCTTTCCGCGTTTTTTTTAGCAACCCGAAGTGGGGAAATCGATATCGGCCCAACCGGAAGTCGGACCGATATCGATATTTGGCGACATCACGTCACCTGACCACAGTCATATTACATGGGGACAAAACTCATATACGTTTAAATTCACATTTTTTTTCTATTTATAGTGTTTTGCCGTTGGCGTATTTATAGGTTATTACACAGGTCTAGTGTGTCTGAATGCAATATTGGCCAAGAAGAGGTATTGGCCGAGGGCTTTAGCGGTCTCGTAGGCCAATATAGAGGATATTACATGAGTGTCTTTTCATATTGAATTTATTAAAACGAGTTTGTGGATTAATATAATAAATTGCGAGGCTCTGCCGAGCATTTTATTATTTATTCATATCACAGGTTAAATTTTGGAGCCGATAAACCGAAAATTGTTGTTGTTATTTTGCCTTATAAACGCGGTAAAATCAAGCGACGTCCGCTAACGTTAAATGACGTCGACGTCAAAACGATATTTATACTAGTTTTATTGCATTTGTTACTATAAATAGTAACAAAAATGCTAAGGAAGTGTGCTGATATTGCCCAAAGAGTGCCGATATAAGCATGCACTTGAGCAAGTGTGCCAGATATCGGCACACTTGCTAGTGTGCCAAAAATCCATTCATGACGTCACGTCCGGTTGACGTAAAACAAGTTTTACGTTGGAGCGCTCAAATATAAACTTATAGTTGACTTATCAGCATAACACGCAACAGGATAGATAAAAGATTAAATTTCTGCACATTTTATATATGATTTTATAGAAAATTTAATGAGCAGATATTTAAAATACAATGTTTGTGCTGGCGAACGGAAAATGTGAAGAAAATAGACACGATTTGTTAGAAACAGTTATGGAGATAAAACATTAAACTTTGTTTTAGAAGAATAACAATAATTGAGTGTCTACATATGCAAATAAAAAGGTTATTGATACAGGGCAAGTGTGCCTGAAGGAAGATATCGCACAACTTGGTCCGCATTGGCCCTCGGGCTAAAAGCCCCTCGGGCCAATACCTAACCAAGTGTGCCGATATCTTCCTTCAGGCACACTTGCCCTGTATAATAACCTCTAAGTAATATGGAAAATATGTAATGCGCTTTATTACACTCCCGCGACGTCAAACATGTGATAAATCGCATTTAGGCACA